AGAGAAAGGCTCTAATTCATTTAATTTTATCATCTTGAAACTTAGGAAGAGAGTCTTTACAAATGAAGATTAGAATGATACATAACTAATTCTTGCATTTCTTGTAAAATTCTTGAATTTACATTCACTGATAATAAAAGAAAAAATATAGTTTGAAGAATCTTTGGTTTCTTTATATCAATTTTCCATCAGTTGTTTAGCAAATTTATTCAGTGCTAACTTAGCATCTTCATCAGTATTTATTTTTTTGTTTATTAGTTCAGCAAATATTAGTAGTTTGTTATCCTTTAATTTTGAACTGAAATCTCCTTCAGGAAATTTATTATTTATAATAGGAGAAATTGTTTCTGTGAAATTAGTACAATCTCGAGTTGGATGGTGGCATATGGTTACTGGTCCTTAAAATTTTTCAAATGAAAGCCTGGTTATAAATTTCATAAGTTTTCACTTGACAATGCTTATTCTAACTTACCTATGCAAGTAGCAGAATATTCACGTATGGAATAAAATATATGAAGATTGTAATTACGATTAGAATCTATATCATTTTCATACACAACATATACATGATTATTTTGATTTCATTCTCTAAAATTATATTTTCTCTAAAAGCTTGCAAATAATTATTTAAATCAAAGAAATCTTTTGTTATTTCTAATAGCATTTGTTTAATTTTTCTTTCAAATCAGTTTTTAAAGTAAGTACTACATTAGCTCTTTATATTGTTTCGAATTAAAATTCTAGCTTTTTGGATTGAATTCAATGTAAATTGGTAAATAAAACTTTTGCATTTGTATATTATCTTTATTGAAATTATAGCTTTGCATTCCGTAGCGCGTATTAAATATATAAAAAGTATAATTGAAATTTCAATTGAAATTTCAATATCAAAGTTAAATTTTATTACAATCATTAATGTCAACAATTTGAATAATACGTATTCAATTTAATCATATTCAATTTAATGTTTACAAAAGAAATTTAGATATTAAATAAAAATATTGGTTGAGCAAATCTTGTTTTGGCAATCGTCGTATAATCTTCATGCCATTTGAATCTTTTTATAGTTTAAACTATTGTTTTTCCTTTAAAATATATTTAAAAATCGACCAATCAAAAGAGGCGATCATGATCATTTTTTACAGGAAAGTAAAACAATTATATCTTTGAGAATTATTTTTAACTAGGGCTTTGCATAAAAAAATGCTTTGTTTTAATTTTTTGGTATTTTTTTTGTTTGTTGAAGTAAAGTTTTAGCTCCCATTATTTTTTTTAATTATTTTTATTAGATGCAAACAATATTTTGTACATCTTCCTTAATTATATAGTTTCTTTTAATCAAAATTTATTTAAAAGAAATATACTCTAATAGGATTTTCACTTACTTTTCGCTTTAATTATATTTATTAATATGTAATTCGTTAAGTATATTTATCTGTTAAGCTTAATTCATTATTTAACAATTTAACCAAAATTTTATATAGCCAATAACAATATAAAAAAATCAGAATAGATTAAAACATATTGAAGCTGAGCGTAAACGGAGAAAAAAAGAAAGTAAAACAATTACGAAAATTTTGTCTTACAAAATTGAAATACGTGAAAAACTATCAAAACTATTGAAACTAAACATTTTGGAAAAAGCATTGCAATATATTTTAAGCTCTGATCAAGAAATGCAAAGAATTCAAAATGAAAATGAAATACTACATGAAGAAAATAACTTATTGAAAGAATTATATAGTTATCATACTGTACAATACAATATAAGATTTAATGTCAATTCAATCTAATTATATTTTGTACCATTAAAAATTTTAACACAAACAGTGCATGCTTTATTAACTAAAATTCTTATAAAGGTAACTTTCATCTTGCAAATACTTTAAGGCTTTAAAATTTTTCAATAAAAAAGACTTGGTGCATTTCACCATATATGCTAATAAGAATATCTCTTATAATTACGTCTAAAGTTTTTAGCATATGTATATTGTAAAAACATAAAAATTTAGAAAACTTAAGGTATAAACTATTTTGTAACCTAATTGTGATGATTATAGATTGTTATATTGCAGTTATCATGATAAAAAATTTAGCTGAATGATGGCATACTGTCCCCTTATTAATTGTATTTTCATTATTTTCCATTGTCAACATTTCTATTAACTTAGATTCATAATTCAGAAAAAGAAAACTGATTTTTGCTTGCTTTTTTTTTGAGGTTAGTGTATAATTATATGATTTTGCAGCCGCAAAATCATGTGATCTTATTGATGTATTTTATTTTTCAGAATAATATTTAATAATTTGAAATACTTCAAAGAGATCGAATTCATATTTGCACTTAACAAATCCTATATTTTCATACTTTTCATTTTTTAACTGCCCAGTAATTTGCATTGTAGTTGTATTAATAAAATTTTGCAGTATATCAATCAGCTTGTATATTCAGTATAATAAAAACTAATTAATTAATATAGCCGATCAGCCAGATTGCATTTCTACCCGCACTTAGTCAACAGATGCTATTTCGGGTGTCCTGATTTTCAAGCTACAGTTTTATATAAAAACTAAAGTTATATCATTTAAGAGAAATAGAACACCTTTTCATTGGCTAAATTTTCCACCAGATAAATCACATCCAATAATGATATTATCTGATACCTTACAATAATTAGAGTCACTCGCAGTAAAAGACTTGGAAGCTTTAATCTCTGATAAAAATCCTCAAGATATTCTAAGTTATCAAATTGGACCAATCATATTTTTTTGTATTTTTTTACAAAAATAAACATCATGATACTGATCAATCATATTTTTTTTTATAAAAATAGATAATTGATAAACAAAATCGTATATAATTTTATGTTGAATTTTAGATTACTGCAATTTACAAGAATAATGCACTTTTTATATATTTAAAGTTCGATAAATAAACAATATATTAATATTTTAATACAATATAATTGAAACATATAATTATATAGTTAATATACAATTTAGTTGTTGAGTAATTATGTAAAACTGGTCAAAGAATATACTTCAATGTACAATTTAATAATAAGTGATGAGTGGTTGAATTATATTACAAGATCAAAGTTAACATTTAATGACGTCTATAAATTAAATTATGATAATGTTTTAATATAAATTCTTAAATCAATTTTATTTCTATGCAATGTAGTTAAAACTACTAATTTATTTAATAAATTTATCTCATAAAAAATGCTTTTCACAACAAAAAGTTTGAAGTATTGGTAGAAGTATTGGTGACATCTATTTCCATAAGGATTAATAACTTTTTATGTTCTCTGTGTGTTATTGTAGTTAAAAAGCGATCAAACTCCACAATTGATATAGTTTCAAAAAATCTTAGAGAAGCACCAGCTTTAACAAGTTTCTTGATTGTTGTGATGTTTTTGTCTACTAAGAATTTAATATGCCATGAAGCATTGTATTTTCTTTCCTTAGATTTAGTGGTTTTCAACTTGAGAATTGATTTAATTTGAAACCTAACCCATTTTCGATTGAGAACTGGATTTGCATCTTGACCAAGGGTATTCCATTTTCAATTTTTTTGTTTGATACTATAATTTTTATATTTTCCTGGTGTATCTTTTCTTGCTTATTTGAATAGAGCGATGTATACATCAAAAAGAATTAAATAATGATGAATTCTAAAATAAGTGACTTCTAAATTCACTACTTCCAAAGTCGAATCAATTCTTTTCTAAATTTTTAATTCATTTATAATTAATTCATAATTATCTTGAAAATTAAACTGATGCTTGTCAAAATTAATCAAACAGTCATTATCTCCCAAATCAAGGTAGATACTATTATCCTGGAATTTAATTTGAAGAGACAAGTCATCAGATTCAGGGAAAAGTAAAGAATGAGCAATAGTACTCCATTCTTTTTTCGAAACTGAAATAAATATGAAAAGTAATTAAAATTTAAAATTTAATAAAAATTAAAAAATTGATTTTTTTACCCTTTTGTTTAATTATTTTTTTATGATTTTCTTTGTCATTCTCGTCATTCTCATCACTTTCTGTTAAGCATTCATCATCAATCAAATTTTCAGAATTAAATTCTTTTTTCGAAAAAGTTTGTTTATCATCACTTTCTATTAAGTATTCATTATTGTTCGAGCCTCTCAATATTTTATACGAATTGATGTCTTCATGTTCTTTAAGAAAACTATTAAGTGATAACTCTGTAAGACCTTTTAGAAATATATTTTAAGGTGTATTCTTTAGTAATATACATTAGTGCTTAATAAGCATAGTATAATACTTACCAAAGGTATTTTCCTTTTTACTCAACTATTAACAGGAAACTTATTCTCAAATCTTGAATAACTCAGCATATCAATTAATTGTAAATATTTGTTCTTTTGATATCTGTCAAGTTGTGTTTTTAAGTCTTTACTGCACCTAAAAATTGTTTCTAGTCTTGAATTTATATTGATCCATGTTTCCTCATCAGATTCACATAAATCAATTCTTAAATTTATCAATAATCTATCGATCGATAAATTTTGGTCAAAAGTGATCGAACCATCGTTATTATTAGGCTCATTACTTTCGGGTTCGTTACTGTCGGGCTCGTCATTTTTGATTGTTATAGGTATTATCTAAATAAATGCAAATTAACAAGTGGGCTTTTAAAACAATCAAAGCAAAATATAAAAATCTATCATTTTATGTTTGTATACTATGCTTTCAAAAACATCTCTCAATTTTCTGATTTCAGCATCTTGCTTCTAAATTTATTAATTAATGTTGTAATGCAAATAATATAAGTTTGGAATATAATTTTATATAGCAAAAATTACCATTATTTTATTAAGCATTTTATCAATGATATTCTCATCATTAAATTTTTCTTGTAATTTGTAATGGTTAGTAATATTACGATTCTGAAAGGTTCTTCTTGTTTTATGAGGTTCAATAATTCTTTTAATAGTAATAAATCCTTCGCTGAATTCTATACATTTTAATTTACCTGTACAAGAGTTATTTAAAAAGTTTGCAATGAATAAAAAAATATTTGAAAGTGAAAATTTGCTGTTATCAAAGGACATCTTGCAAAATAAAGTAATATGAAATATAATAAAATTCTAAAACAGTGTAAACAAAATTGATTTTCCTGCACCGGGTGGCGAATTAACCAGGGTAGGTCACATTTATAGTAAAATCAAAAGAATCGACACAGATCAGTCTAGTGCAAAAATATTTAGGAAAAATCAAGATACAGTGTGTCATTTTTTCAGTGTTTTGTAAAATCAAAAGGCTCGACACGGATCAGTCTGGTGCAAAAATATTCAGAAAAAATCAAAACACAGTGTGTCATCTTTTAGTGTTTTGTAAAATCAAAAGGATCGATATGGATCAGTTCAAAATTTTTCAAATTAACAATTTACGTTATCATTTAATTAGCCTGCAGTAGATGGTTGTCTAATAAAAATTTAGAGCTATTTCTGTTTTTTTTTGTAAAAAAGTAGTCTGTTTCAATTTTTACGATTAGTCAAAATTACAGGGGGTGGAAAAATTTTGTGTGACAGCTAGAGGCTTTGGTATGCCCAGGGGCATGCCTTATAGAGCATGCCTCTAACTCTCATGCCTCCAACCTTAGGTATGATAGAATAATTGAAAAATAGAAAAAACGAATAGTTTGTTTTGATCTTCCTGATCGTGTAATGTTATATCAAAGCGAGGCGTGCTATTGAATAACCATTTGTAAAAAATTAATATTTTTTGTAATATTATAGCAAAGTAATTTCTCTATATTACTTAAACTTCTATTATACAGAAATAGCTTTTCTAAAATATTACAAAAAATATCAATTTTTTTTTATATCATCGATCTTTTTGATTTTACTATATACAACAAAAACTAAAAAAGGGTTTAGGCCCTATAGCTTAGTGGTTAAGCTGCCAAACCTTCACAGACAAAGTCGACGATTCAAGTTAGGCTGGAGGCAAAGAATCTTAGGATTTTTCACTTTTGTAATTCAGAAGGAGGCACCACTATTGGATGCGAAGCCCTGTAGCTAAGTCCAAGTGCAAATATGAAACCGGAAAAAGAAATTTCTGAAAAGGAGGTCTGATTGTGGAGTGGTGCCAATGTGTATATCCCTCACAGATAGTTCTGCTACATAAAGATCATGCATATAAGTCCTTGATTAGGGGTAACTGGAGCAGCACCAACATCTCCAGTGGTTGGGGAACTTGCTTGGGAGAGTGATACAACGTTAACAAAACCGGAGCATTGAGAAAAGTGGTGAACACAAGAATGACCTGTGGTAAAGGATTGGTCCAACTGGAATTGGAAGCACCTCTGGCATATGGTATGATACCAGGTTAAGAAAACAGATTATCTATAGGGACCTATAGATAAGAAATTGATTAGCAGAAGTAGTAAACAAAAAAATACAGATCGGACATTAAGGCTCTGGTAGGTTTAGGTCACAGATAAAGTAGTCTGAGGCTAGTATTCTTAGATTAGTCAGTAAGTAGGTACATGAGTGAGCAACAAGGTTGTATAGTAGTGTATAGACTTATTGATTCAATAAAGATACATAAGGCAAGACCTCACTTTAACACCGAAAAAAAACAAACAAAAAAACTAAAAACACGACACACTGTGTCTTGATTTTTTCTAAATATTTCTATACTGTGCCTATCTTTTAAATTTTACGAAAAACTGAAAACAGGACATACTGTGCTTTATTCTTAGATTAAATGCGATGCATTTGAGTAATATAAAGCATAAAATTTTCAAGTTAATCATGAATGCAAAATTTTAAAGGTTCATAATTTTTGAAATGTGCTATTCAATAATAAGTTATTGGCATGTTTTTACATACATAATTGTTAAAATTAATCCTTACCATGACAAAACATGCTCTTTGTTAGTATTAATTATTAGAATGTTTTAATGTGCTCTTTATTTAGTGTTAATTATATTACTACGTCATAATGTGCTATTATTAGTATTAAATTATTATTACGTTATAACGTGCTCTTTAATGTTAATTTATTATCATGCTCTTTATTAGTTTTAAATATTATCATGTCATAACATGTCTTTTATTGGTATTAATTATTACTACGTAATAATGTGCTCCTTATAGCATTAATTATTATCACTTAATAACGTGCTTCTTATAGTGTTAATAATTACCACGTATTATTTATTAGTACTAATTATTATCATGTAAAAACTTGCTATTTATTAGTGTTAATCAGTACTACGTAATAACGTGCTATTTATTAGTGTTAATCAGTATTACGTAATAACGTGCTATTTATTAGTGTTAATCAGTACCACGTAAAAACTTGCTATTTATTAGTGTTAATTAGTATCACGTAATAATGTACTATTTATTAGTATTAATCAGTATTACGTAATAATGTGCTATTTATTAGTATTAATCAGTATTACATAAAAATGTACTATTTATTAGTGTTAATCAGTATCATGTAATAATGTGCCATTTATTAGTACTAATTATTATCACGTGAAAACGTGCTTCTAATAGTGTTATCACGTATTAATGTGCTCCTTATAGTATAAATCAGTACTATGTAATAACATGTCATTTATTAGTACTAATTATTATTACGTGAAATATGCCATTTATTAGTATTAATTATTACCACATAATAACGTGCTCCTTGTAGTATTAATTATTACCATATGAAAATGTGCTATTTATTAATACTAAATATTACTATGTAATAACGTGCTCCTTGTAATGTTAATTATTACAATGTAAAAACGTGCTATTTATTAGTACTAATTATTATTACATAATAACATGCTTTTTATAGTGTTAATCAGTACCACGTAATAATGTGCCATTTATTAGTACTAATTATTATCATGTAATAACATGCATTTTATTAGTACTATATTATTACTTAGTAATAATGTGCTTCTTATAGTGTTAATTATTACTATATAAAACGTGCCATTTATTATACTAATTATTATCACATAATAATATGCTCTTTATAGTGTTAATTATTATCATGTAAAACATGCCATTTATTAGTACTAATTATTACTATGTAATAACATGCTATTTATTAGTACTAAATTATTACCATGTAATAATATGCCATTTATTAGTACTAATAATTACTACATAATAACGTGCTTTTTATTAGTACAAAATTATTACCATATAATAATATGCCATTTATTAGTACTAATTATTACTATGTAAAACATGCCATTTATTAGTACTAATTATTACTACATGAAAATATGCCATTTATTAGTACTAATTATTACTATATATTAATATGCTCCTTATAGTGTTAATTATTATCACGTAAAAATATGACATTTATCAGTACTAATTATTATCACATAATAACGTGCTCTTTATTAGTACTAAATTATTACCACTGTTATAGAATGAGTTGTAGTATTAGTTTTATTATTAAGTTTATTATTAGTTATTATGAGTTATATTATTAGTATTATTATATTATTATATTATTATCTTGTATTCTATTATTGTATATTTAGTAACCTTAGATATTATTGGTTAGTTGCACGTAGCATTAGAAACTGATAGAATGGTAACCGTTTCTACCATTCTTACTGTTCTTACCATTTTTACCATTTTTACCA